CCAGCACAATAAAAGCAAGCAATAAAAGATAACAAGAATAACTCAAATACAAACAACAAACATGCTCGCAACATGCACAAAAAAGAGGTAAGATCTGTGCAGGTTTATTGTCAAAAAGATGGCAGCATAACAAAGTTTTATTCAACTTATCTGTTGAAAATTCCTGCATTTTGTCATATATTTTGGAGAGTTGGAAAAAAATGTACAATGTCATTTTCCTCTAATATCATGCAGGCCTATTTTACACTGCTATTAATTTCTCATTACACAGCTACTTTTGCAGAAATATTATATTATTTCTATAAATGCCCTAGGCTGCTTCAGAATTTATATAGCTAGCTGCTGTTGTCACTATTTACTCCAAAAACCTGTAAAATAAAAATAAAATAAATAAATAACTTTATAAATTGAAATTACAGTAGCTTTAAGCTCATCTATCCAGTCAGAATTACCAATAAACACAACTGATCTCTACTGAGGTATTTTAAAAAGCTATCTGCAACAGGTAAGATATTAACTGTCCATAGACTTTCCACAGAACCCCACACTTTTGCAAACTGTTGAAGTGATCAAATAGCTCTCTCGGGTCATTTCAAGTGACAAAATAAAACAGAAATACTCTTACCTGAGAGGAAAAGCCTTTTTAAAAAGCTGGTTTTAAAAATTAAAATAATCAGATCTCAATAACTCATCATTCTCAATGATCTGAAGTTAAGATTTAAAGGTGTGGCTCTGAACACAAAAGCATTAGCCGCCAGGAAGCGTGATGGCAAAACATCACAAGGCAAAAATCAGAGACAAATCAGACAGACCAGACTCTTCCTAGAAATATCTCTCCTCCGATGTGCTCCACCCAGATTTTCAAAAACAGAGCAGAGCCAACAAACCTGCGTGCAGCGCGGACAGCATGCAGAGAGGATGGTCACTTCAGCTGAGCATCCAGCGATCAGCAGCCGAGGAAAACACGAGCACATTTACAGGACAAGTCACCGGACAAGCTAATGTTTAAAAAAAAAAAAAACATCTTCACGATGTAAACCAGATGACAGTGAACACCCCCACCCACCCCAAGCAACAGCAGAGCAACATAGAAACTGTCAAATGCTAACACGTCACTGTTTATAGGCATCAAGCTAACATCTTACAAGATCGCATAAAAGGTTGGCATCGACCATAACGCCATAGAACCCGCCACTGTATCCACGACATGAAAGGCTCTCAAGCGAGGTGACACGGAATAAAGCAGAACACCGAAATGTTTACTACAACCGGTCAACCTGACGCCAGCACGAGCCGGTGTTGTGTCGAAAAATGCACCTCCGCGAGTCGTGGCGTCTGAAGGTAACTTGAATATCAATAAGAGGGTATCGAACGTCACAAGCAGACTTTCCCCCCACTATCATTAAAAACACAATTATCTCGTTATTTCATCTGACAGGCTAGGTTCACAGGATGTAGACGGTTATTTWAAAAAATAAGATGTTTTTAGCTAAGTATGAAGCGATGAGTTGTCAGGGCATGCCATGGGTGCCTGAAAGCCTTAAACGCAAACTGCTATCATAATTGCATTATTTTAACGTCCTTAAGGGTACAAGATAGAGATATGTTTGTCTGCAATTACTTTTACTTGATTTTTTTAGGGAATTCAAGTGCCTAAATGAACGCTTCCCGTGCCCTTTAAGGAAGGGTTGCCGTTTTCGGCACAACACCGATAGAAAAGTTAGCCTCTCCGCTGACTCTTCACACTATGGCGATAATATGTACTCAAGTTCGCTTAGCCATCTTAAACACACAGGGCATCGGTATTTACTCTACGCGAACAAGACCGTTTATCTGAATACAGAGATAAAGTCCGCTGACAGGATACCTGCTGCTCCAGTCCAAGCGGCCTGTCCGCCATTTTGAGGCATAAAAAGGGAGGTGGAAAAAAAATTACAGCCACATCGTCATTTTTCCCACCAAACGCCGGATTCCTTCCACCGCAGCCGGCTTCACATTCGAGAAACACAAAACTCACCCTTTGGTTTCTGTCCACGGATATCCTCAGCAGCCTCTGGCAACAACACGACCCGGCAGGGCGTGAGCTTTCCGCTCCGAACTCCGATCTTGTGATGTGGAGGTAAACTGTGTCCGTCTTGTCTCTCTCTCCAGCTCAGCTCTGCTTTGCTTGTTTTTTTTTTTTTAGTTCGCCACCGCAGTCGCCTTCACGAGGGCACGCGTTCTCGCGTTCACTGCTCAACGGGAGCGCGCACGTCCTTGACAAAATAAAACATGAAAAAAACAAAACATTTTTATTATTTTCTGTGTTAACTCTTACTTTCCTGCTCTTTAGTTGTACATATAGATTTGATTTAGAAATTGCAAAACAAATGACTAAGTACCATTTTACAATGCTTTTGTATAGGATGAAAAAAATACTTTTAAAATTTTTTTTAAAAATTACTTAAAAATTTTTTTGGTTTAAATGTAACCCATTTTTACCTATTTAATAAATAGGAGGTGATATGTAATTGTTTTGTTTGGTATATGAAATAAAATGTTTCCTGCTACATGTTAGATTTTGCACATTTTGTAAAATGTTATGATTATTATTTTCAACTTTAATAAAATTGACTTCAAGTGTTTTACCCCTTCCAACATTACCTGGCAGCTTTAGTTATCTTTACAGGTTACCGATTATATATTCACACTAGTAAACATACATTTTATCCAGAAAAACAAATTCTCAATCTGCTATAATAAAATCTTTAATATATACCATCCAGTTTCTATTTTTATATTTGGAAATTAGATTCATGTTCATACTGATATCCTGATCTGAACACTTAAGTTAT